AGACATTCCAAGAGCACAACCATCGGCTTAGCGTTGTTCTAGATTGCGTCAAACAAGCTGGTCTCGTTTTAAACGCAAAGAAGTGTCATTTTGGTGAGCGTCAAGCCCTTGTGCTTGGATATCTAGTCGACAGGGACGGTATACGACCAGACCCGCACAAAATCAGTGCTGTCTGAGACTTCAAGCAACCGACGTCTGTGAGGGATCTCCGTAGCTTCGTGGGCCTGTGTTCTTATTTTCGTCAGTTTATCAAAGACTTCGCCCAGCTTGCTCATCCCCTGACAGAGTTGCTCTGCAAGAACGCCCCATTCCGATGGACTGTTGAGTGTGAGGCTGCTTTCGAGCAGCTGAAGTATTTGCTTACTTCCGGGCCGCTCTTGCGCCATTTCGACCCAGAGGCACTCACGGAACTGCATACAGACTCTAGTAGTATCGGTGTTGGTGCCGTGCTAGTTCAATATCACGACAGCCGCCAGCACGTCGTGGCGTATGCAAGTCGTACTTTGACTAAGGCGGAGAGGAATTATACGGTCACCGAACTGGAATGTCTAGCAGTTGTTTTCGCCGTCCAAAAGTTCAGACCTTATTTGTACGGCCGGCAGTTCAAGATCGTCACAGATCATCATTCGCTTTGTTGGCTTGTCGGACTACGTGACCCAGCTGGTCGGTTGGCTCGCTGGGCCTTACGGCTTCAAGAATATAATTATTCTGTGACCTACAAGAGCGGTCGATGTCACGCAGATGCCGACTGCTTATCTCGTCTTCCATCTCCGACTGTGGATTCTGATGATGATTATTTAGACAACTGCCTGGCCGCAATCTCATCCAACTTCCGAAATTTGGACGTCTTACGTCACGAGCAACAGCATGACCCTTCCCTGAAACCAATGATTGATGTGGCTCGTAGCTCTAAACACGCCACGCCATTCGTGATTCATGACGCCCTACTATATCGCAAGAATTACTCCAGTCATGGTTCCACACTACTCCTCGTCGTGCCAAAATGCTTGCGTCTTGCGGTATTCCAAGCCATGCACGATGACATCACGTCTGGGCACCTTGGATTTGCCTGAACGCTTCACCGTATCTGACGTCTTTACTGGCCTCGACTCTGGAAGACCACCAAGCACTACGTCGCAAGTTGTGATGTTTGCCAACGCCACAAACAACCTACTGTTAACCGGCCCACTGCAGCCGGTTAAGCCACCGACATCACCATTAGAAAAAGTCGGCATAGATTTACTGGGCCCTTTCCCCAAGTCTACCACCGGCCGCCGCTGGATTATTGTGTGCGTAGATTACCTGACGCGGTATACTGAAACGATGGAGGTTGCTTCAGCCACATCATCTGATGTGTCATGGTTTCTTCTACACTGGATCATACTTCGTCACGGGGCCCCTCGTGTGGTGATAAGTGATCGCGGCCGACAGTTTACCGCTGACGTCGAAAAGTTGCTATGGCTTTGTTGGTGTCAGTATTGCCATTCCACGCCATACCACCCTCAGACCAACGGCCTCACTGAGTGCACCAATCGTATCATCATCAACATGCTTTCAATCTACGTCGCAGCGGATCACAAGAACTGGGATGCCGTATTACCTTTTGTTACATACACCTTTAATACCGCGAAACACGAAGTCACGGGTTATACGCCTTTTTTTCTTCTCTATGCTCGCCATTCCCAAAGTTTCCTTGACACCATACTTTCTTTTTCGACAAACGAAAACGCTAGTGTCGCGCAGACTTTGTGTCGCGCCGAAGAAGCTCGTCGACTTGCTCGGCTCCGAACTCTTTTCGCCAACGCTCGTGCGAAAGGCCGTTACGACGCAAAACACCCGCCCGTGAATTTCGCTACAGGTGATTTGGTCTGGCTGTGGATGCCCGTTCGAAAGAAGGTACTTTGCCAGAAGTTTCTTTCTAAGTACTCAGGACCATTCGTCATTACTCAGTGCCTAAGTGACATCATTTACGCTGTTGCGAAAGTGACAGCTCAGAACCGGCATTCACGCAAGATGCAAATTGTGCACATTGCCCGATTGAAGCCCTACAACAACCGATCGCTTCTACTCGCTCCGTGAGCTTCGTCTGGCCCGGAGGGAAATGTAACGCGGACTGAAAGAGCGAGGAAGAAGAAGAGATCGGACGCTCTCGAGCGATGGTGATTCGGCAGTGACGGTAGAGCGCTGACATTTTTCAGTGTAAATAAACCCATCACATTTGTAACAATATAGTCAGAGGGCAGTTAAAACATGCAAGTTTATTACAAATATCGAAGAAATGCACGTTCCAACTCTTACGAGCGAGCGTCGGCGAGCAGCTTCTGCAGGGGAATCTTCCATTAAAGATGCCTGTGGGACAACCTCCTCTTTGTGACGCCAAATGCGTCAGAGGTGGGGCGGAGTAAGCCCACTGCCCTCTTCTAGTGCACTGTACTGCCGCGTGCATGAGCAGATCTATTTTTTTAGTCATGGAATTACTTGGCTGTCATGCTTTCGTTGTCTAGGTGCCTTGTATCTGGCTATATACTCCGTTAGGGACCCATAGGGGGCACCTTGAAAGGCGCGCGCAGCGCCGCTTGTGGTGCAGCGGGCATGCAACGTTGAGAATCTTAGCAGACAGAAGCACTTCATTGCTTAAAAAGCTATGGTGAAACAAGCACCCATGTCCGGCCCGTTAGTGCGTGCTGCGAGCAGGGTTTAAAGATATCTTAGAGGGACATTCTTTCACGAAGCTACAATGAATAAATGGGAAAACCAGCACGTGAGTGACAACATTTTCTACGTTAGTGAGTGCCTTGCTGCCCGTACTCAGTACTGACGACTAAATGCGTGCGTCAGGTGTGCGTAATGAAAGATGCTTACTTCATAACTTGCCGTAAGCTGTCATTCTTTCACGCTTAAAATATAATTGGTGCATGCCCACTACCCATGCACTTACAATATACTTAGAGCATTTAGAAATATCGGTGGCTCCGTGGTCGCTCGCTGTGAAAATAATATCATGGTGAGTGGCCGGCGGCATCTTTGTTTGTTACGGCTTCGTCCACAGCGATTTTCAGCCATAGAGTCTCGCGAAGTGCTTTGCTTGAGATTGTCACAGCGTTATTATCGCTCATCATGATTATAGTCTTTACCTCATTGCTCGCATAGCTCTTGCTAAGGGCTTGGAGCATGAGCACGTCGTGTCGTAGGTCCACGCCTACGGCGCTGGATTCCATCCTGCAACCTAGGGTTCAGCAGCCTTAGCCACTAGACCACCGTGGCGGGTACTATAACAAAAGTAATATACTGACTAGACCATGCGAGAGGCACCACACCATTCAATTTGTGAAATGCAACAGAGCGTAGTTCGATATTTATTGCCAATATCTTGCCGTCACATGTATATCAAACAATTGGGATGTGCATAAATGTTCCGAGAGCGCCATTCTTCCTTAAAGGGACACTAAAGAACACAACTGTTTTTTGCGTATTAGTGAAGTGCAAGTTCACGATCTCAAAAACACCACTCTTACCACGACACGACGCTGAGTAAGCGAGAAAATGCATGAGAAAAAAACACGGGTGGCAACACTACCTTGAGATTCCAACATCAAACGCCATGACATAGCAAATTTTGAAGGTGTCTACTGGGTCCTACATATCTTCCAATAGATAAAAATGAAGTACAATATAATCTGTGGGTGCCATAGACCTAGCAATCAGAGTTTAAAAAAATTTCATGGAGCCGATGGCACTGGGTCCTACATACCTTCCAATCGATAAAAATGAAGTACAATATAATCTGTGGGTGCCATAGACCTAGAAATCAGAGTTTCAGAAAATTTTATAGAGCTAATGACATGAAAATACCGAAAATGCATTTTGGAATTTGATACATCACGTACAGAGATTTTGGCATGAAAATTAAAAATGACATTTCAACCTTGATTTTCCCTGCTAATAGTTAGCGAATGATAGTGATACATATAGTGTTAGAGTTCTGAGAGTGCAGTTTGTAAATCTAAACTATGTCATTGTTCCTCTTTAGCGTCCCTGTAAACTGTTGACCATATATAGCCATCCGTTTCTTCATTGTGCAGAGCAGAAATGTGCTCGTTCTTCTGGTGACATAATTCAGCTTTTCTGCACAACAATCAATCAGCTAGAGAGGCAGCCGAATTTTCTTTACCACAAGATTGGGATGTAAGTGCGCAAGCCACCTGTCTTTATCTTTGTCGCATAAAAAGCCAGGTTCGCTGGTTTCAGGGCTTTGAGCGGAGACAGATTATTTTTCGCTTTTGGACGCGGTCACTGCTCATGTTCATGTGTCGTCTTTCTGAAAAATAAATGTCATTTGAAAGTTAGTGCTTGTAACATCTTTCTGGCCTTTATCACTGTTCTTTTTTTTTTTTTTTTGCTATTAGGCAATGCATTCATAGCAAATTGCTTGACTATCCTTACTACTGCAGCTGCTCAGAATGTTTCAAGAAACTCGGGTGGCCTTAACTACGCTGACAAGTATTTGACCCCTGTATGAAGTAAAGTTTTGCTCTAGTACTATAGATATCCAATATGACTTGAACCAGAACTATGAAGTTCCATCATTAAATCTTTTTAGCAAAATTTGAAAATTCGAAAGTGGTCTACCGGATATGATTGAAAGAGAAGCAAAGAGCTTATTGGAACTACAAGACGAATGAAGTACAGTGTCAGAGAAAGCTAATGCCAAAAGAGGACATCATGGGGTTAATCAGTGGTCTCACCTGTTTTTTTTTAGAAAACGAGAAATATTCAACCTAGTAATTGCCATTAATTCCTGTTTTGTTGTGTATGTACCAGTAGCTCAGATTTCCATACACTGACCCATTGTCTTGAACAGCTCCTCTCGGGAGACTCAGCAGTCAGGCACACGCCAAGTCATTGTAGCGAAACAGATCATGTACGAGGGTTTTCATTGCTTTTATTGGCAATGATTTGTAGCCTTGTCGCTCGCAGTAACACTAGCCCAATTATTTCAGGAGGACCTCGCAGCAGAGCCAGTACATGAAGGAGAAACGAGCCTGCGTCGCAAGGCGTGGAAAGCTGCAGAAACATCACCAGCGACACCATGTGAGCTAGGTAATGCTGCAGACAAATCTGTTCAAGTGCAACTACTTACCTGTCACGAAGCATCACAAGCAGATGTAAAGAAAATTCTTTCAACAAGCACTACGCAAACAGAGCCTCAAGCTGTTTCTTCAGGTAAGTGTCTGTATTCATTGTAATATCAGCAAAAAAAGCTAGCCACTGGAGCGTCTGTGAAATGGTGGTAAACAGTGGAGCTGGCAAGCAAGCGCCACTACTTGGCGAGCGCAGATCATGGTGAAATTTGTGGTGTCGACAGTAGTAGTAGTAGTGCTTATTGTAGGAATGGTGCCTAATGGTGCCCAATAGGGAGCACGGCGCAGCGTCAGGGAAGAAAAGAAAGTGAGAAATCTTAGGGATAGCAGAAGAAAGAAAGATAGTAGAAACTTAGAAGGATAAGCAGCCGAGGTCTCGTTCATTTATGTGAGAGAGCAAAGGGGAAGTGAGTGACCAGCAAGTTGCGGGTGCTTAACGGTAGGCAGCGATTCCAGTCACCCCCAGAAGCTCCAACAGGCTGTGAAGAGCCCGGAGGTAGGGAGGCGAAAGGAACAGGAAGTGGTTGGGAGTGGTTGCAGGGAGGCCCTGTAGGTTGTGGTGAGCCTGGAGGGTTCCTGCGTCAATGCTGAGCAATCGCAGAGAAGGTGTTAAAGTGTCTCAGAGTCACCGCAAGGTTCGCAGGCTTGTGAGGGGAGGGGCCCTTGGCGTACAAGCGTGCCACTGTTCACCCGTGTGCAAACAAGGCATAGTGGCACGCTCCCACTTAGTGATGCCACCGTCGGGGAGAGGCTTCAGACCCTTGCCATTTGCTACTCTGGCACCTGGATGGGGGATTGTGAGCAGCTGCTTCAACTGGTGCCTCAAAAGATCAGAGGCAACAACTGCTCGTGTGAGCAACACATTAGGGTGGTGTTGCTTACACAAAGAAGGGAGTCAAAGTATTGCTGGTTTGTCTCTGTTGCATTCAACTGTGTGTGCTACAAATTTCACCATGAGCTGCTTGACCCTCTTTCTCACATATTCCTTTCCTTTCTCCTCACTATTACGTCAGTAATTCCTCGCCTCACTTTCCCAATGCCTTGCTAAAATATGTGGTAGCCCTATTGATCCAGCGAGGAGTACAGGTCTGGGTACTCGCACTTTTTCATTTTTTGTAGTGTGTTAGCCGGCTGGGAGTGCGTGTGCCGGTGCTTGGATGTGTGTCGTCGAAAAAGTTGTGTCCTAGGTCATTCTGCAGATTTTCATTCCCCTTGTGGTAGTGTCAGCCAGCAAAAGGTCAACGGGAAATTTCTACACTGTCTTGTGTTGTTCTAACTTCTACAAGGAAAGGAAAACTGTTGTGTGAAAAACTGTGCATTACCAGACTTTAGGTGCTTACGGCTTTGTGCTCTTCGAGCAACATTGAATGTGTTATGTTTTGGGGTTTTGATTCATGAATTATGGGACCAGGTTTAATGCAAATTGAATAGTGATGGCATTGAGTTGAATAAGAATTCTATTCAAATATCTTTTAATAGCTTTTGAATCATAGCCATTTTCAAAAGTCTGCTGGAACTCCACTATGTCCCTTTCATTTTAAATCAATATTCACAAGCTTTCACCTAAACCTTAAGGTTACTTCTAGCAGTCTCAAAATTCCACAGTTGGGAAATCTAAGGGAAATACTTGTGGAGCACTGATCAGAGCCTTTGAAATATTTCCTGTAGATTGAAATTCAGCAGTGACCGCAGTGTCAGGTTAATACTTTGTCTCCTGCTTTTAAATAGAATTAAGATATAAAAAGCGCTAAACTTCATTGAACCCCACACCAGGACCACAGCTGAAAATGTAATGAAAGTGATAAACCTGTCATCACAAGTGAGCCTTGGCCCTGAAAGCATGCGAACTTAGGTATTGAACGCTATATCTAAATGAATAATTTACGCAAAAACAACACCTGCATCTGTTGTTATTCATGAAGCTAGATACAGCCGTAGCACCTCCGTTCAGTTACTACAAGGCGAAGACAGTCACTGATTAATGCGATGCAGCTTTGTTGTAGTAAAAATTGAGTAATAGTAGAGCTTTCAAATGAAACACCTTCGTTTGGTAATCAATATAGCATTAGTAGTCTTGTAAAAACTTGGGCTGCATTATCATTGGTAATTTAGTGAAAAAAAAAGGAAAAGACTATGGCTTTCAACTCTTCCAAAGTTTCGTTAGTTTGGTGATTTTTCCATTGGTGCCGAATATTCGAAAACAATTTAGAAAATACTCAATATTTCAGGGAAGTGCTATTTGGCTCGAGTGCGGAATAAAATGAAATGCATTCCAACTCTTCAATAAATTTGAATATTTGCACACCCCTGGTTACAGCAGTTATAAATTGGCAACTGGCGACAAATTTCCGAAATGCGCAGTACTTCATGTAACTATATGGCAATCGGATATGGCCATATTTTTGAACAATCGTATATAAATGGTCGAAAACGGCGCTGTCCACAAGTGGAAGGCATTTAAGCGCCACTCATGAATTAACATGCTTAAGCCTACGATATTGCTTTTCCTTTTTTTTAATAATATTAGCATTTTGTATCTCAAGATATGGGCTTGGTTTAATGATTAGCCTTGATTATTGCTCAGCTCAACACAGCCTTGGCTGTAGTTGACGTACCAGTATTCAATAATGCAAATTCTCTCACTGCACAGCATGGATACTTGGGGTAATAAATCTACTTTGTGCTTAGTACCGGCCCAGTAAATTGTGAACACCCTATGGGCACTACATTAAGAGGAGGTGGTGGCACCCCTGTGGTGAAATGACAATTTTTGTAAAATGGCCTGGAACATTCGCTATATGATGGCCGAACATTATAGAAAAAAGTTTTCGGCACTTTGTTTGTGGGGTAACATTTTCTAAATGCCTAAGACAGCACAGTAGAAGGCAGGCTTTTAATAGAAACATATACCTTGCTGTTATTAAATAATCAATTAACAACTCAATCTGGTGTTTATTCAGGATATTATTTCAGAGTCTAGGGCACTCAAGCAGCAGGTGTGTAACAGCTGTGCCAATTTGATGCACTTTAATTTTGCTCCAAGCTGGACCAAAACCATGAAATTTGTTGAAGTTGTGCTATGCTGTGCTAGAATAGCTGACCAGTCTCAAAATTTTCTCAGTACTGCTAATTTTATTAGTATATAGAGAGTGTGGTAATCTCCTGCAGTTTGCACATCATCATCCAATTCATGGATGACCATAACATACATGCAGACCATAACTCTAACTACTAGTTTGCTATACCCTAACATCACTGAAAAAGAAAAAAAGGAAATGATGCTCAAATTTCATGGCTTAATTCTATGATGTGCGCGACGCTTTCCAAGCCACTTTTGTTGCAATACATCGTTGTTATGCAGGAAAGCACACCCATTTATTTACAGGGGCTAATGATAGCACATGTTGTGACAGGGCACCAAATTTTCTTCCTCAATTACTCATGCATACTCATGCCATATAATCAGTAAAAGTATGACAGCTGACATCTAAAAAATAACTGGTAATCATTCAGAGGGATGTGCAACATTTCTGTTGCCTTATGAAACAAACAAAAAATGTAAGCGAGTTTTTTTTTTCGCTACCCCTTTTTGCTTCAACTTTATGAATCTTCAGAATTTCAATATGACCAAATCGGTAGAATGACAACAGCATGCGCAGCACCTGTGAATGTTTTGACAGGCTCTGCAAATGCTATTGTGGACTTCAACATTGTTAGCACTGGGCGTGGTTCAGCAGACTGCTTTAATAGAAGTAGCAGTGCTCATGTGCACTATGCACGAGTTAGTTGATGTTAAATGGTTTGTACATATATTTTTCTTTTGCGAAAGTAAATCTGATTGTTACATTGCTCCAAATGTACAGTTTCAGGCTAAAACTACATATTTTGTTCTCGTCACCTGCTACAAATTGAGATTTTCATGCTCAAAAGCATTATTTCTCTGCTCATAAATAATTTCAGGAAATCTGCCACTATCATTGAAGGGAAAAGTACGTAACAACTGCATACTGCCAGTTCTGCCTTATGGGGCTGAAATATGGGGATTAACGAAAAAAACCAAAGCAAAAGCTGATGACCACACAGCATGAAATGGAACATAGAATGATAAGAATAATATTAAGTGATCGGAAGACGGTAGCGTGATTGAATGGACTGACAGGTGTTGCAGACATCCTAGCAGGCCGTAGGCGAAGGAAATACACCTACGCTGATCACATAATGCGCAGAACAGACAACCGGTGGATAGTAAGAACAACAGTATCGTAACAAGGGATGGAAAATTTAGTCGGGGAAGGTAGCGAGTTAAATATAGTGACGAAATTAAGAAGTTCACAGTGAGTAAATGGAATCAGCTCGCATACAATAGGATAAAATGGAGATCATTGGGAGAAGCTCTTGTCCTGCAATGGACAAGCACAGGCTTAGAATGATGAAAGAGATGATAGAAGTTACGAAAAAAAAGATGATGCTTGTGTAGGGAACAATGCGAGACGATGTCGAAGCAGCAAACAAGGCAAGCCACAGCGTTGGTGTTATACACGTGTGACCCGAGCTTGCACTTGCTTGGATTTTGGACTGCTGACGTTCCTCGGCCTTTCAGTTCGTCTGTACGTGAATAAATCACGTGACATCTGATGGAGGTGTGTGGACTTCTGTCTGCACCTGGAACTTCGCTCGAGCTGTGTAGGCAGCGTGCAATTGCTCGTCAAGTCCTCACGACGCCAGACTCGCTCGTGAGCTTGCGCCTACCTGCCAGTCCTGCCGATCAGCAGCCGCTGCTTTCAAAAATCAAGAAGTCTGTCCGCGAAGAGGTAGCCCACCAGCTGTCACTGCTGCCACTGACACATGCGCCCGCGCATGCTTTGGCTCCGAACCTCCAACACGCCATTCAGACCCAAGTCGCTGAGGCCCTCCCACCGATGCATCAGCAACCACCTGTCACTGCGACTCTCACGTACGTTGCTATCGTTGCTCGGCCTACGCAACAGCGTATGCCTCATGCTCAACCTGCCATGGCGCCCCATGTTGTGCCTACAACCCCAATTGCTGCGTCGTATCCCTTCGCGTGATCTTCAGCTTCGT